GAGGCAGAAAGAACAAATGTACATCACAAAAAATGCAACTCAGTGCAGAGACGGCTGAGCTGCTGGAGAGCTGAGCCAGTGAATATCGACAGAATGGTACAATGTGGCAAGGACTTTACCAGCTTCACAGAGGAACTGCGTGAACATGGAGTTAGCATAGCAGGATATTGAAAGAAATAAGCCTTGCCAAGTGGGCCAATATGGCTAGACTGTCTGTGTGTAAGTGAAAATCCAAGCACTGCTGTGCCCTGTGTTTTTTCCCAATTTAATCTCTACTTGCCTTAGCATGCTGGCTCTATGCTCCATTTTACACCACACACATTTCTGGGAACAAAAAGTAAGCCTACACTTGTAAAGAGACCAACATTTCTAAATATGCACTGGGCTTCCTCTGAGATTACCTACCAGATCCAACTGTGTGAACAACTCAAGACACAGAAATGCTTCAACTCCAAAAAGATATTGGTGTGATCTCAGCATTGAGCTGCTTAACCCTATCAATACTGAGGGAGACCTTGTCATGCACAGATGCAGCTTGACATGATCAAGAAACTTGAAAGCTGCAACAGTCATGCACCCAGGGACGAGGCGAGCTAGAGGCATAGCACTTTGGATTTGGAAGGCAGCTACTCCTTCAAGTGCACAAGTAGTTTTGTGACCTGGAATCAAAATACCAAGCTTCAGCTGATTTTTTGTAGTGTTACCCTTGATGTACACACTTGAAAGAAACATGGATGAAGCAAACAAACCAGAAAACTGGTAGAGGCATGTGTGTATGTCCTGAAAAGGACTGAGTACATGTCCTCTACTCCTAAATTTATCAATTTCTCTATATGAACTTTAAACTGGTGTATCACATAATTTCATTTTATGCAAAATTCAAGTCGTCTTTTCAAACCATATATACACAGATCACATTGACTTGCTAGCTATGATGATCATGCCTTATATATGTAAGTGTTGAGTCCAAAATCTTCAAGTCAAGATGTGATTGGTGCTAAACACCAAGGGAGTAGCTGTCCTGACAAACTAACTCAGCTGTCCTTCTCTAGCTCCTTCTCTAGCTAAGGGCCTGAGCTATAAGGCTTTCAATCTTCTCAGGAAAAGTGTTTGGGACCCTGATGAAACATATATATATATATATATATATATATATATATATGTATGTGTATATTCATATTCATATTCATTCCTGCAGCATGATCTGCATTCCATGATGTGTTAATTACTTGCCATGCATGTGTAGCATGATGCAGTTCACAGCCCCATTGGTTGAAAATAAGAGCAACAAATGTTATGCAGACTTTGGAATTTATTACTACCATAAAAGACAAAGAAACTTTAATACTGTGAAAAGCAAGTCATTCACATGTCACCTCCCAACCTTACCATACGTATCTGAAGAACCCAGTGAACCACGGCCCTCTTAGGGAAAGAGCTTTTCACTCGTAGCTGAATCCTGAAGATTCAAATCATTATGTAGGATGATTGGAATAATGATGCAAAGTCAGACTTAAGTATTTCCAGACACATTTTCCCTATTTGGCAGGAAACTTGTTTGGTAATACACTGAGTCCTAATACAACAGCACAGCAACTGCAACTTAGAACAGAACAAGTCAGTTAATGGACTGTTAGGCCACTTTTGCTGTGTAACACCATTAAGAGCATCTATTTAAAAAACAGGTGGATAATCCAAATGTTCAGTTACTAGGACACTAACAGTTATGTCCATGGCAATTTTGTTTCTGTTCTTTAAACAAATCATCACTTGCAAGCACTAATGTTAAAACCAGAAAGCCACTCTAGTACACAGTGGCTATAAATGCCAAATCAATTTTCAGCAGATAATAAAGTCCATGTTTTACAATCAGCAATACACTGTTTTACTACCCAAAATGTAAGCTAATAATATATAGCTCTGCTAAATGGAAAATGCAGATATGCTGTTAAGAAATGGGCTGGCTGTGAGATGATGGATCATTTCTGCCGGGACCTTCTTAAAGCTATGTGCAAATGTTTTCAAAATATCACATGATGTGGCCATGTGTTAAAAATTACAGCCAGTTAAGTTCTCTGCTAAGAAAAATATGTGGGCAATTTATGAAATGCACTCCAGGATGGAGATATCTTAAGTAAAACCAGATTTTGAAAACAAACCCATTTTTTTGAAACATGAACTTAAAAAAAAATAGTTGCAGCCACATCTGGAGAGCAGAAGTAAAGAAAGGGTGGTCTGACCTAATACCAGGCCATCTTCTGAAAGAGCAGCATTATTTCTGGGCTACAATGACTGTGATCACTGATTGTCCTTTTAAGGAAACCATGCTGAATACTGCCATGGGCAATAATAAAGCATTTTGTAGGCCAACATCTGTTCTTTGAAAGTACTATAAAATGACTGATAGATTTGTAATGTTTCATAAATAAAGTCCGGAATAAACAATACAAAAAAAAAAGCAAAAAAAAAAGAAAAAATAAACCAACCACCACATTCACAGTAATCAGAGAAACTGGTGTACGGTATTAGATTTGAACACTGTTCCCCCAGGAACAATTACTTAGAGATAAACGCTTCCTAGAGTTCGCTACACAGAATGACAAAATGGTTAACTTGGTTACGGCAAGCTGCATGTTAACGGGATTATCTTTCTAGAGACTTTTCTCAGAGTTGCAGCAGTGCCTTCACAGTCGTCTGAATGGCTTTTACAGCGCTTCATGAGGCAGCCCCACTGCTGTTGCTTGCCCCAACAGGAGAGCGAAGAGGTGAGTGCCCAGTCGCAATTATAACTGTACGAGCCATTTGTCTTTGAAGGACAAATTTAGTTTGTGTAATTGTTATCGCCACACATAAACCAGAACCCGTCTTTATTACTTCCTGTTCTTTCCCCAAAAGAAGGACTTCAGATGTCAGAATCTCTAAAGGGATGGTTCTTAAATCAAAACTTCACACATACACAAAAGGCACTGACATAATATCAGATTACATAAAAATACACATCCTTTTAATCTCCTGTACATAATGTGCTTACTTTTAAAATACAAAATCTGCCCCAGATGGCTAATAATGCCCATTTGAAAAAACACAACACCACAATATTAAAGGGCTAAAATATGCTGTGAACAGATTGAGAGGCAGTTCATCCTAGAGGAGAGTAAAAAAGTGCAGATGGGTGTCAAAAATAGCCAAGTGTCAGATCTGTTCAAGTATCTCCATTCTGGCACATGCTCCCAGTCACAGCTGTCAGTGTATTCTCTGTATCCAAGTGCAAGGTTTTCTAACACTCAGAGCTGACATTAAAACACGCTTCTTGCTTGCTACTGCTTTAAGAGAATGCCGCAAATAAAAGATTTATTTAATGGTAAAGCTTAACGAGTATTGATAAGGATATACATACTTGAGTGTGGCACATGCCATTTTGATTAAAGATGCATGAAATTTTAGCCAGCAGGTAGATTAAGTCATTTAAATGCCAAAGGCTTAATACATTTTCAAAAATGTCCACTCTAGGCATTCCAACAGTTTGCCACACCGAATAATGTACACGAGGATCAAAACTGGTAAGATTGTGTCATTTTAGTACACCTTAATACCTTGATAAAACACAGAAAAAGTAAACCACAGGAGAAGATGAGTTTCATACAAACATAAGGGAAACATCAGTGGATAAAAATTACGCACAATGCACAGTTTTCCTAATTAATGGATTACCACGGTATTTCTAATGAAGACCACATTCCCAGGAATGCAATGCATGCAAATCAAATTTGATGTATAAAGGGTTAAATTGACCTTTCATAGTCCTCAGTTGTTATCTATGCAAATTAATTTGCCCATATTTCAACCATATAAATCCTCTTAACCTTGTGCTTTGAGCAAACAGAGCCCACTTTCTCGTTACAATCACAGGATCAGCAAACATAACAGCAGTAGGGTATGACCGTATACAAAAATCCTAAAAGGAAAACATTCTTCCAACAACTGGCAATACCTACATGCAACTGTGGCTGCAGTAAACTGGCAGATACTGTTTCAAAACACCATCTGTGAGGTGTACAGACTCTCTGTGATCAAGCGTAGCCTCTTCTGCCTGTCCTACCCAAATAATCCACAAGAACCAGCCAGCTGTAGGATCTCTAGCCCCATCTTTTTTTTATCCAGAACACAAGCTGTTATAATCAGGCACATGGCTTTCTCCAGACCTTACCAAAGGGGAAAAAAAAACACAAACAAAATACACCAAATTAAATCTACTCAGACATGGTCAAGCATCTTATAAAACCCCTCAGACAAATCACCTTGCAGAGAAGCATTTTTATACACAATAACACTTATCAATAGACAAGTGATCATAAGATCCAAGGGTAATATTTTCCTGAGGAAACCAACCTATTATAACTCCCAGCTCCACAGCAATTCCTCTAATTCAGCAGATTTTTTTTATTGTTTTATTTTGAATCAACATATTTTGGTGATTTGCCTGGTGACAGTGAAGGACTACGATTTAGGACAAGGCTGGAATAATCTGTTTTATAAATCTCCCTCACTTCTCCAACATAAACAGCTTTTCACAGAGATAATTTCAGCTGATGGGTAAATGCTGTGAATGATCTCCTACGATCAAATGTTTGCAGATTCAAGGTACAGATGACAGTCATGAAAGCCTGCCCGAAGCTGTATTTCTCTTTGCTAAAAATGATCCCCCGTGCAGAGAGACCTGTACCCACAAAGCTGGTGACTTTCTGCTATTTCTATCCCTTTTCATTGAAACATCCAGTCCTGCTGTAAGTATCATCTCTAGCAGTTCACTTGCACAAATTCCCCTCCCCCAAACACATACACAACAGAATTAGCATCCGCGATCGCTCCGTACCCGTATCAGCTTGCAAATCACCCTCTATATTAAAAGAGAAAAGAAAAAAGAGGGAAAATATACTATCAAAAAAACGATTAGCGTTTCCTCATTTAGAACCGAAAGAGCTGCAAAAATTTTGACTCACCAGGCATCCTTGGATAAAATATACCACACTGTAAATGGCTCTCTCCTAAAAGGAAGCTTATTTAGGGCTCAGTGCCTCCTGTTCTGGAATGAACAGAGAGAAGCGAGGAGGGCCATCAGAACTGGCTGTGGCAGCGTAGCTGGAGGCAGGATGCTGGGCGCGTGCGTTTGCCAGGCAAAGACAGATGGAGAGCTGACACTCTGTATTGCACTTGGAGCAGAAATGTGAATGATGACAGGAGCACATGTGGCCTTGAACCCAGCCCTGTCTCTTCAGGCAGAACAATGACAGGGATGTGTGTGCAAATTATCACAACCCCGGCTCCCCTCAGCTGACTCCTTTTACTCTACCTTTCACACCAAGTTCCAGATGACCAAAGAATAGGAACTAAAATACAGAGGGATAAGCCAAACACTGAATTATTCATTTTTTCCTTAAAAGTTAACCCGTTCCTCTGCTGACAACAATTAAAGAAAAAGCATCACTTTGAATCAGCTCTCCTCCAAATGTGGAAAAAACATCATTCTTCATTTTAACAGCCATAATTTTGCACTTTGTAAGACCGAGTCTGTTTATTTAGCTGGAAATTCAAAATGTGCACAAGAATATACAAGAGAATTTCTCTCCTCCCCTCCCCCCAGCCCTTTCCCACACTTCTGTCATTATTATTCTCTTTTACTATAGGGAACGGAGTATCAAAATCACTCCCTCTCTCAGATCCACAGTAGTATGTGTAAAATAGACCACACTTAGAAAGCAGACCACTTACATTTTACTATGGTGCTTTTAACCCCCTGGGATTCTTCCATTGATATGTTCCAAACATTTGCAGCTTACTCTCCTTTACCTTGCATAGTGATCCATGGGGGATGAAAACAAAATCTTCCCTGTAAAGCTCTTTCAAAAGCTAAACAATCATGTCCTCCCAATTTCTGATTTTGTGAACCCCTTAAATGTTTATCCTTCACATGAATAAGGTATGCCTGACTAGGTTCAATTCACTCTTCCCTATTAAGCTTTAATGGACACCATGATACATAAAACTACAAGTCTTTGTTATAGTGCTTTATCTAAAGCTGGCTATTTTCTTCTCAGCAGTCCCTCTTTAGTCCTTTGTAAAACATCTTTGCCTCTCAGAAGAAGCATACGCTTGACTCGCATGCCTTCTGTAGCACACAGCTTTGCACAAGATTCTAGGCACAAGAAAAAATACTGTCCTTTTTAAAACTCTCCTCCAATTCAGCACTTGCAAAGTGCTTTAGTAACAAGCCATTTCTCCAGCAACTAGCATGTAGGTCCTGGTTGTGACTTTGCTTTTGCATTGTACATTCAAAACCTTTATGGAAAGGCAACAATTCTCAGTCAGATCTTCTCAGTGTAAGGTCTGTCCTAGTCTACTTATTTATGCATTCCCCCCCCCCCCCGATTTTGTGTTATGCCATCTTCTGCCTCTATTAAGAAGAAACAACTCTGCTTTTAGGCCTTCCTCTTCCTTCCTCTAGCTACTATGGAGCCTGATAAAGATCTGTTTAGGAAAAGGACACACATGCAAAATTAAGCAGAAAATAATAGTCCCTCCTAATGTCCAGACTGAACTCATTAATATTTCTCACTTAAAGAAAATGAATCATTTAATTGACTGATATTTCTATAATACCTTTTTAACGTAATCTAAGTGGCACCCTTAGGTTTCATTTATATAGGAGAGAAATTCCAAACACAGAACTGGCATATCCAAGACTATCAAGAAAAGGAGGCAGCTTCCCTGCCCCAATGTCTAGTACTTGAGGCAGGTCTTTTCTTCATCTTCATCAGACATCTATCGTATTGATAGATGGATAATAATATTAATGAATAATGGATTTTTTAAGTGTCAGAGAAACCAAGAGAAACATGAAAAATAAAACATGAAAACATTTTCCTGATCACTTTCATTAAAGGGGGAAAAGCAGAGGGGCAAAGGAAGAGAAGCAAGGGAAATGGAGACAAGTAAAGTCTGCGCCAACAAGGCCTTTAAAGACTTGACTGTCCTTTTAGTTTTATTATTTGATGCACTATTTAAAACCAGTCAGTTAGTATTGTATTTGCTACGTTGTTTTTCTTTTGTAATGCTGTACTCTACATGAAAGGAAAAACATTTTCACAGTTGGAAATACAACCTTTCATCAACATAGATGCAGCCTGAATCAGCTTCAGAAGTAGAAAGTAACGTGTCAACACTATGACGCATTTTAATAAAACTGAACAATATTCACTCTTTAAAAGAAGGTCTTAATATCAGTACATTGTAAATCCACAGACCATGGCTCACGAAATTGAACTTCCATATGCTGCGCGATTATGCATCTTTTTTCTGTGTGTTAAAAGCCTTTTTAAGCTGTTATCTGACTACAGTAATTGCCACTTAAATTGATCCACGTCAACAAAACCTGGATCCCTGGAGATTCTCACCTAGAAGTCTGCTCATAGAAGGGACTAACAGAATGCCTGTGCATCTGAGACTACTTCAGCATTTTCTCAAGCAACCAGCTGCATGAATAGTTTTCCTCTCTCATTATTTAATACACTGAGGCAGGCTGCAACCCATTTGGCAGTCCTCCCTGAAGTAGTATCTGTGGAAATTTATTTGCTTTCCCCACCCCCATTTCTAATGCAGTCACCTTGCCTTAGAAGTTTTTACACCACATCTAAAATTTTAGCAGGCCAAGCAAAAGTGGACAGTCCATTCTGTAAAATGATTTTATTCTCTACCAAGAAAAGAAAGACTGTGGTTTTAACACAGAACAGTTCTGCTGTATCACAAAAGTCAGAGTACTGTCAAAATGAAAGGGATGCAAAGAGAATGAAAAATCCACAGGACAATCTAGGGCCAGTTTCTTTATGGTGCACATTACGTTACACCATCCTGGGTGGGCACCAGCTCCTTGTTTGACCATCACTTAAAATGCTTTACAAAATAATTTTAAAATCTTCCTCTAGGAGTCCTTAGTTTGAAAATGGGTAGAGGAGGCAAACCAGTCTCCATAATCTTGTATCTGATGGGCAAGTAAAAATATTATTATGCAGTGGATGATATAAGGTAGCCTAGACATGGATCTGATGGAAAAGGGAAATTCCTAATGACCATCATGTGAAAGTACAGAGATTGCCTTTTGTGCAAACCCAGCTTAATAACAGGGACTGGAAGTCCACTGAAACACATCTGTAGTTAATGAAAGCTCTCTATTAACAGTGAAGGAAGAATTTAACTCAAAGCTTTTCTGTAGGACTTCTCAACTTCCCGCTCTACTTATAGCAGACTGTTGTGATACATTGTGACTTCACACAGTGGGTATTAAGTGAGTTAATTCAAAGGAGCTGAAACCTCATTGATCCTAATTGAAAGCAATACACCCAACCAAATAGTTTTCTACCCCATCTGCTCTGGCCTGCCACCAGCTATTCAATACAAGAGAATTAATAGTTTCAGATATTCTAACAGACCCAATAAAAGCACTCATTTAAGCAGGACTGCATTAACAAAGTGAAAAACCAAGGGCAAAATAGGTTCAAATGGAGCATTTTACTCCTAGTTGGCTTTAACAAAGCTGAATAATGCTTATTCTGACTTTTTATGTGCAAGACTTGATAAACTGAATGAGAAGGCACTCAATGATCAGTCAACGAGCATTGATGAATGGTCATTAGGACCCCCCCAATCTCAGGGAAGGCCATTCCACAAAGTGGCACACCAGCTTGAAAGGGCGGACTCACTAATGTCCAGATTTCCCCGCTTGCTTGTTCCACTTTCACTTTCAGACCACTGGCCACCAAATGAGGCTGACATATTGGAAAATAATCTTTTATGGGCGAGTGGTAAATAAAAATGGAGGCATTAGCTGGGCTTTCAAATTCAAATCTACTAGTTTTGTCAGCCCCAAAACGTTTTGATTTTCCACCCAGCTGGAAGCTATTAGTGTTTTCTTAAGGCATCCCACTGACAGGGCAAACCCACCTAATGTGTGAGCCGTGGAGCTGATGCGGGGACAGAGGACAACCACTTCTGGATGCTTTCTTAACTTTGTTCAGTTGACTGTCCAACCACAGTACAGTAAAGGCAACACCTTCAGGAGAAGCTCAGTAATTTCTTGCTGACCAAGTATCTCTGATTGCCCGGTGCAATGGCAGCCCATCTAAACCTGTAATTGGACCCTCAGTGCAACTTTTTCCATTACATTGTACCGAGCCTCCCTTGGTTTTACTGCACTACCAACAAAAGGCTCAAGCTACCCAAGAAAGGCACTTCTCTATAAACTTCTAATTCTTTCCTTGGAAATGGAATTTAAATATTCCAATAAGATATGTGCTTATCTGTTAACTGCAGCTCTTTATGCATACAACACAAAACATTTGCCAGATAACACTAAACATTTCCCTAAGCATTTCCTTATTGGCAAGGCTTCCTGGACTTCTGAAAAAAGACAAATGAGACGTTTAAAACATACACTGCTCTGTGAAACATAGACTAATTGAGATTACCTACAAAAATCAAATACTGAGCAGTTGAAAGGTAGTCACCAAGGTGGGAAGAAAATATTCTTTGTTGTCTAAGAAAACTGTTCATGATGTTACCTCGAGTACTGGATTAAACTCATTGGAATTGAGAAAGCATTCACGTCTTTTCAGTTAAGAAAACTTGTACGTTATATCCATATTTCAACAACACTCCAAAGAGTATTTTAAATCATCTGTTAAGAAAAGGCAGCTTTGATAGTGCATTAGAATTAACAATCTAGACTGCCTATTGCTTTTTGATCAAAAAATTCCCCAAAAATTAATTTTTGTTGAACACACAGAAATTCCAGTGACATTTTGGGTGCATTTCACATTTTAAAATAATGAAAATATACATTTAGACCTAACATGAAAGAATAGTTCCATAAAAAATTAACTGACTCACAATGCAAGGGACAACATTCAGGCCTTAAAGAATGCATGCTCTTTTGCTTTTGATATACATTTTAATAAGACCACTCACATGGACAAACTCACATATAAGTGTGCCTGTCTTGGGGTCTATTTCTTTCACTAGATCTAGGCTAAACAAGTTTTGTCTCTCATTTTTATTAAATACTATATTTTCTATAATGTGGGTAAAGTAAATTAGAATTGACTGCTAATTTCTATCATCATTTGACTTCAAAGAAAATTACCACACCATCTGTGCATAGACACCACTCATGCACTTTAGAAAATTTGATATTGATTTGAAAATATTTCTGAAAGAAAATACCAATGATGCTGTCTCAGTAACAGAGAAAGAACACATTCAGTGTGACCTGGAGAAGCCTGGAAGAGAAAATCTGCTCCTGCTGAACTATAGCCATATTTTAAGATACAAAAAGGAGAAAGGGGGAGGGCATGCAGGAAGGGGGGCAGTGAAGGAAAAAAGGGTTTCATGCTATCAGTTGATTTTTGACTTGAAGCTCAGGGTGTTTGTTCATTTAACATGGGTAGGGAAACTCCTCCTGCTATAGTATATTAACCCAAGTTTTGACCTCTAATCAATGTCTTCTCAATGTATAGGATCTTCATAATAAAGATAACATAGAGCATAATTGTGTGAAAGTGTATCTACCACTAGCCATAAATCTGAGCCTTGCATTTTTCTCTGTAATATGTCAATATTTGTGACACTAACTAAACATACTTTATTCATTTGACAAGGATTGTTACATTATATTGAAAACTTTTGTTTCAATGTCACCACCTCCCAGTTTTGACTGATGGTGAGTCAGTTTTGTTAAAATGCACGGGGTGATAGCGTATGCTCCAGTGAACTTTCCCTCCTCTCAGCACCAGAGACAAAAACCTGCAGCTCTGCTCTGTGCTGGCAGCCATCTGGCCAGCTTTCTCTCAATGCCTGCCCCACACCAC